CTGTAAGAAATACCTTAAAATAAAAGGAGGCAGAGACACGGGGAGAGAAAGGGGAGAGACTCCTTTAGCAGGAACCTTATCGATTCTTTGCTGTGCATGTATTTATTTGACAACGGGGCGGGGAGAAAAATGGAACATTATTGGCAGCCCTCCCTTAAGAGAAAAAAGAAGAAGGGGAGAGAAAAACTAAGATGCAAATTGTGTTTTATCTTCACCCGGCTCCGTGCTTTAGCCCGTGTTTATGATGCATTATCTCCCCCTTGAATAAAATAGAAATCATGTAAAATTAGGATCTCACAGCCAGCGAGAGGAGAAGCTTCGGTCGGTTTTCCTAATTTCAGGCTGAAAGTGACACATTAATTAAAGCTCCTCTTCCCCTCCCAATTTATTATCATTATTATCAGATTTACCTTATATTTCCCCAATTCTTAAATAATAATAATAATAAACCAAATCAGTTTCTCTGCCCCTCGGTTTAAAACTCAACTAAAATAAGGACCCACGTTTTGGGTTGGGGTTTTTTTTCATTTCCCCCCCCCCAACGCTGCCCATCGCTTTCCGCCATCAGATTCATTGTGATGTATTAGATGCAATAAATTATCCCATGTAACAAAACATTGGGAGCTGAAAGGGTGATAATCTGGAAAGCAGAGATAAGGATTCATTATTCCGAATCATTATGAATCCAACGTTGCCTCTGACTTCTTTCTTAATCAGCTCCTCTGATCCTGGATATGTGAGCAGCTCAGATAAGGAAAGAGTCATTTATAATTCTGTACCTCGTCTAATATTTGGGGGTGGGGGGGGAAGAGAAGAGAGAGAAAAGTCAGAGGCAAGAAAACGCCATAAAACACAAGCAAGAGGCGGGCTCAGAATGAAATAGCACTTCCATGCTGTTAGAGCCGCAGTGAGATTTAATTAAAATCCCCCAGTTCCACGTGTTGGATGTGTTCTTATAAATACAGTTTGCACCTTGGCTCTAGTGGATGGGAATTTGCAACCGGGGCGACTTGCTGGGGTTTGGCTTTGATTTCATTCCCGAGTCCCTCGTTTAGGGGAATTTTAGGGGGGGTATATGTGTATAATTCCTGAGGTTTCCCCCCTATCCCAGCTGTCCCTCCCCACCGTTCACACAAAGTCATTAGGTCGAGCCTACCCGAATGCGGGAGGCTGCGTTTAATGGAAATCGTTTTAAAGCGAACTGAATACACCCCGCGCACACAAAGCCCAGGATCAATGCCAAAGCAGTGCCAAAGCGGCTCGTTTGGAGCGAGCAAGACGAAGGGAGCGTTCTACCCCTCCTTGGAAATGAAGAATACGAGGATGATATTAAATATAAGCTGCCTGAGAACGTTTCACAGCCGGGGAGGGGGGAATTATTGATTATTGACGCTTTTTCTCCGTGCTGGGGGCAGAGAAAGGTGGGTTTTCTGTCCAGAGCAGTTTAATTATAGCAAATAACCCATCCCCAACCTCCTCCCTGCAGCCGGCGGAGCGGTTCTCACTAACAATACCGCACGGATCGTATTTATGGAAGGTCCGACTCCAAATCTGGGTTCAGGCGGAGCCGAGATCGATTCCGTGTGTGTGTGTTTAGGTATTTATTTCGAGGTATAAGGCGGCTAAATGTGTGCCAAGAGGAGAGCGAGAGGTGGGGTTAGCCACATGCGCTGGGAGAATCAGAGGCTCACCATGGAAGTTGGAAAATACAAGCGGGGGGAAAGTATATATACTGTATACAAGATATGTATTTTTTCATCTGTGATAGAAAAAGCATATAATATATGTGTGTAGTATAGAACACATACAATATATTAACACACCGTATGTGGAGTATATTAATATATTACATATGTGGAATATATTATATACAATATATATATAGAATATATATACACACGCGCACACCATATGTATAAATTCCACACAAGGAAAAAACATATGTGTGTGTGAATAAATAAATAAATATATACACAAACAAATACATATATACGCACACATATATGCATGTATATATTTAAATAACCTCTGGCTACCTGGCTATTGCTTTTAATGTATATTGGGACCTAAACCGCAGGCATCAGGGAAGGTCTGCGATATCGCTGATAAACCCCGGGTGCCATTTAAAGCCTCATTAGTTATGTTTAACCTTTGAATCACCGGCCGTCAGAGCTGGAAATGAACTTCGCGGTGCGGGGTGAATGCGGAGAAGGGGAGGGGGTGCTGTGTGGATGCGCCTGCGCCTGTACCCAAATTCCCTCTTACCCTCCTCCCCAAGCCGGGGGAACAGGGATTCCATCTCCACGGCCTTCCCAAGAGGTTTTTGCAGGAGGATCCTTGATTTTTCGTTTCCCCAGTTTCTACAGTGTGCTCAGACTCCCTAGGTGCAGTTCCCTCTCTCTTACACCCCCTTTTCTTTCATTTATTATGTATTTTTGGGCATTTTGTGGGGGATCCGACATATTTGCCGTTGATCTCCCCTCCCTCTCGCAGAGCTATTTTGGGGGAGCAGATTTCCCAGGGATTTTCCCTGCCTGGTGATGTAGAATACACGCCCTGCCTGGTTTTAGCTGTATTCTCTTTATATTTTATCCCATACCCTGTCAGGATTTAGCCCCGGCTCCTCCAGCCGGCTCCGTGCAATCCGCTCAAGCCTCTTGGCTTTAAAACCCTGGTTTTCGAACCCTTTTCCTAGCAAAAAGCACGGGTTTAGCGGGTGTAGATGGGCTCAACCCGACTCCCCAGGAGTGCCCGAGCTGCTTCCATAGGGGCTTCGTGGTGGGAAGGCTCCGGTCGCAGTTCTAATGAGCTTTAAGTTATTACCTTAATTGAATGGGTTTTCTAAAGATAGAATTGGGAGGCGATCGCGTTACCTTTCACCTCACAGGGAGTCACTCTAGAATCAGAGATAGCAACTCCCAGCGTCAGCAGAAAAAAACCCAACCCAACAATATCCCTCCGGGAGCAGGATTGTAATTATATATATGTATAATACGAATAATATTAACCAGGACTAATTATATGTATATAGTTATTATTGTTTTCCCTAAATTATCGATTTTCGACCCACTTTCTGAAGCTCCACGCACCCTCCTTAGTCCTGGGAATAAAACGTTCCTCGTTTGTTCCCATGGAAGCATTTTATGCCAGTGGTGGAAGTGGAGTGTAATGTTAAATTGGGGTGAGGGAGGTGTTTTTCTCCCCTTTCTTCCCACTTTTCCCCCCTTCCATCCCGGTAAGCGCCTGCCCACACCAGTAGGTCAGTGTGGGCGCTCCGGGACGTGTTTTCCATGGGGAAGCTCCCCCCCAGAACTGGTATTGCTGGGTTTTGCTGGCAGGACCCCCTCCTTCCCCGCGAAGTGCGTTGCAGAAATGAGCACAAACCCTAATAATAAAACAGGAGCATCACCAAGGTGGAAGTTTGTTCGGCGGGGGCACACTGAGGCTGCAGCATTAGGTTTTGGGCACAAACACGAGGGGGGGAGCATTAAAAGCTTCAGCTCTATCTCCTCTTAGCTGCAAGATTTGGGGCATCCCCCGAAGCCTGTGGCCCTACAGCATTTTGGGGGGATAGGGAGGATCTTCCCTGCCCAGCCCCCGAAAGCCCCCAGGTCTTCGGGAGAAGGGGGTGATCGGGGCAGGAGGCTACAGTTCATCCAATTCATTCTGCAAGATCGGCCCTGGCTTCGAGCCCATCCAGCTCTGGAAGCACAGACAGGGATAGTGGGGGGACACACAGACCCCCGGGCTGGGACAGACCCCCGAGGTCGGTGTCCCCTGCAGAGGAGCCTTCCTCGTCCCGATGAAGAGGAGGGGGACAGGGCAACAGACCCCCCCTGAGCTCTCCAAATGCCAGGGGATGAGTGTGGATTGGAATTCTGCATTTACGTGGGTTTTTTTTATGTTCAAATCCAGGATCCTTGCACAAACGTATATTTAAAAAATAATAATAATAAAATGAAATAAATAGAGGAAAACAGGAGCAATAAAATTCCCTCCCTAAGAAAAGGGTGGACAGAGGAGAAGAAACAGCCCATAATAGCTAAATTCACCGCTTTTCCTCAAAAGCTTTCGATGCAAGCGGAGCGAGCTCCGGCGTTATTTCTATCACCGACAGCTTAGTATTTGCTTCCCTCCCTGTTCCCCCCCCCAGTCTCTGTCTCTGTCCCCAGGCACTGAAGGCTCCCGGCAGTGACAGTCGCTCCCGGGACAGGTCGCATCACGCTCACACCGCTGCTAGCCCCGGTACCTGGCCCTGCCCCTATCCGTCCCCCCGTCCCCCCCCCTTTTCCCGCCCCCTGTGATTCCCGGGAGGGGTGTGTAAAGAACCGGCCCATCATATTCCTCTCACTCCTTCTCTGCCCTTTCCCAACCCGGAAGAGCTCTGATCTTCAGCCCAGCCCGGAGGAGGAGGAGGAGGAGGGTGGGCATTCGGAGGATGCGGCTCCCCCAGGTTTTCCCCCTCGGTGGGAGCTTGCGACATGCCAGCGCTGCTCCTGCGCTCCTGCCCTGAGAGCTCCACCGGAGCGGGACTCCAGGAACCGCCTCTGCCCAGGTCAGTGAATGCCCTAACCCGGGTACCTGCCTCTGCACACCCCCCCACACCACCCCTTTCTTTAATTCTTCTTTTCTTTATTTGTTATTATTTTAATTCCTTCTCTGCCTCCTTTCGCCCCTTCGCCACGTGGAGATTAGGATGGGGATGTCGGCTCAAGGGCTTGAAACTCAACCCCTCGCGTCGCCCCCCCCCTCCCCTTTTCCTTATTCCTTAGGGGGAGAGTTGGGTTTTCCCGGTGACCTTGGAGAAAGGCACCCCCCGGCTCGGGAAAGACAGGCAATTTGGGAAGCGGGGGAGAAAAAGCTGTTTTTTTTCCCGGGTGTTAGGGAAGGAGAGAGGCTGGGATGGTCGCGGTGGGAGATGGGACGCGTCACTGTCATCGCTGGGGTGGAAAATGCTGATCTGAGGACGGGAAGGGAATTATCTGTGCCTGGCTCCCTACCTATGTGCAGATCCCTCCGTATATACAGACCCGAGGCCCCTATGAGCGGAGTGAAGTCAGTGCGCGCCGGACTCCGTTCTTCTGCGCTCTCCCCGCAGTTCATACTCAGCGGTGTTGATTTGATCACGCTAGCTCTCTTTGTGCTGTAAAGGGCATAATATATACAATTTTTTTTAGTACTATCTATATTCGCTTTAAAAATACCTACTTGATAATATACAACTCTCATCCTACGCTTCTAATAGGCTCTAATTAGGGCGATCTTCCTCCCCGTTCTGCTCATATTCCTTCTTATACCTTGTAGAACTAAGCCCGAGCCGAGGAGGGGAGATGCGCTGTTAAGGAGGATGAGATGAGGAAGGGGGACCTCCGCTTCGGGCCAGAACCCGTCCCCGTACCCCCCCGGGGGTACCAGCAGGCCGGGCCAGCCCGGGCTCCGGCAGAACCCGGAGGACGAGGGGAGAGTTTCGCCTCTTTCCCGGCTCTCCTGGATTTAGGTCTTCCTTTTCTTGACCCTCTTGTAGGAGCATTCACAACCCTGTAGGCTGGGCAGGGAGTGTTCTGGGATAGAGCTTGGAAATGGCTTCGGCTGCCCAGAAACGCGCATTAACGTCCTTGGGAGCCTTTAAAACAGAAAGGGGAGAAAATACTTTATCTATCATCTATCTACCTATCATCTATCTATCTATCTATCTATCTATCTATATATCTATCTATCTATCTATCATCTATCTATCTATTATCTATCCATCCATCCATCCATCCATCCACCCATCCCAGCTCCTCTTACCTTCGTTTCTCAGTACACAAGCAGCGGGCTCCGAGTGACGGATGTGAATGCAACCGGATAATTAACAACCACCGGCCCAGCTTGTTTTACTCCATTAGGAAGGTCCGTCCTCCCTCCCGGCACTTTGCTCCCGGCTGGGGCAAAACGCTTCCTTATCCCAGGGATTTTATTATTATTGTTATTATTTTACTTTAATTTGACTGCAGACACGAGGGTTTGAGGTTTAGTTTTTAATTTCAGGAGTGAAAAAGAGACGAGGAAGCGCTTCCTGCTGGGGCAGGTAGGGAGCGGGGTAATGCAGGGAAAATAGGGGCTCCGGTCCCCCCCGGGATGAGGGCAGCACCTCCGCTGCACTGGGAGAGGGCTGTAATTGCCTATATGGGCCCCTCAGGGGAATTTAGGGTGAAATATGCCCCTCCTCAGAGAGAAATCCCGCAGATTTCACCCCACTGCTCGTACAAGGTGGATTTGGGAGCACGGGATGGTAAATGTGAAGCAGTGTGCGAGGCGGCCGTGCCGGGTTACACCCGGAGGGATAGTTCTATGGACACGGGGAGTTTATTTGGGGGTGCAGGGACAGCTCTAAAGTAGCTGGAGCCGAACGCTTCCAGGAGTAAATGACTCCGTTTTTAATCCCGGGAGGCTGAGATATGCCCCTGCTCCTGGCCAAGGAAGTGGGGAGTGGTAAATCAGCCGCCTCCTTTCACACCAACCGCACGGCGATCCGTGTTTTCTGCTGTCTCTAAATCCCAGGGTGATTCCTGCTTTTGGGGAAATAATGGGAAAATTTATAAGAAAAGCCATTAAACCCGACGCCAGCTTCACCTTTTCCAGAGGGTGCGAGGGGAACGGCGAAAGATCGGGTTAAAGCAAGATGCTTTTTGCCTTCGCTTCAAATCTGTCGCTGGCAAAAATGATGAAGCAAACCCGAAAATAAAAAGACCCCTCTTACATATGTAAATATATACATATGTAATTTATATTTTAAATGCTAATTTCCTCAATCTCCCCTTAATTTGGGGTGGATTTCTAGGGATTTTCCTGCTTTTTCTTGTCCCGTTTGTGAGCTCACCGTGCGGACGCCCCTACCGGAGCGCTGCCCGAGCGCAGCCCCGGGCAGGCAGGAGCAGCAGCAGACACCCGCGCAACGCAGCGCGGAGGGGCGCGGAGCTTCTCCGCGCATCTGGGAAAGAGGGGAAAAGGAGGAAATTGGGGGAAAAATAGAGGGGGAAAGGAGGAAATAGGTGGAAAATAGAGGGGAAAAGGAGGAAACTGGGGGGAAAATAGAGGGGAAAATTAAAGTAAGAAGGAGAATGCCGTTCTAAACAACACCTTTGGTGTCTGAGAAAGGGAAAGGGTGGCGGGGGGAGCAAAGGGACTTACCGTGTTGAGCTGGAAACTACGGAGGGAGGCAGGGAAAGAGGAAAAGAGGGTGGGAAGGGAGCGGGAATCTGCCTCCCATCCCGGAGCAGGACGGGGCAGCTGCTGCATGGGGGAACACGGAGGTTTCCCCCCCTTCTCCTCCTCTTTCCCCCCCTTGCCTTTGCCTGCGCCGCGCAGTTCGGGGAATGTGTCGGGGGGGAGAAGCCGCCTCTGGGACCTGCGGAGCCGGTTTTTGATCTCTCTCAGCCTCTATTTTTTTTAGCAGTGTCCCGGGGCAGTCGCCCTCCCCTCAGCTTCAAAGGGGGGGGGGGGCACAGAAGGGGAAAGAAAAGTCCCAGTTTCTCTCCTCCCAATTTTAATTTTTCGAGTTCCTTAGGCGGAACAGGGTCCCCCCCATCCCCACCCCATAAAATCACATCATTTGTGCTGGAAAATAAAGTGTGTCTGGAGGGGGGTGGTTGGTGCACGAAGGGAGAAAAGCGTTGGACCCGGTGCAATGAGCCGCTGGTTTGCTCCCGCTCCGGATTTGCATGGCTCCGGCGCTGCTTTGTGTGTGCGTGTGTTCGTGTTTCCTCCCCATCTTCGCGGAGGGGGGAGAGATGAATAACAAGAAGAGAATGGAAATATGCATGTAGATATTAAAAGAAAAGGGAAAGATAAAACGAAAAGGGAAAAAAAAGCCACCCATGTGGCTGATTTCAGAGCAAGGGGAGGTTGCAGGGGTGCGAAAGGGGAGATGTAGAAATGCGGGTGTAGTGTCTCTCTCTCTTTTTCTCTCTGATTATTATTATTATTATCATCATCATCATTATTATCATTATTATTATTGCCAGCCCCTATCTGCAAGGATGCTGATTATCCTTTTCTATTGATAAAGAGAAGGCGGGGAGGGGGGGGTGGCCTTGGGGAAACAACTCCTAATTCCTGCCTGATTCGAGAAGGAAAAAGAGAAAGGGAAAATCTATTCCCTCTTTGTTTAACCCCAGATTATCTCAGCAGCATTAGCAGGGCCCGGCGAGGGGGGGGGGGGGGGGGAGAGGTCCAAAACCGGGTCCTTTTTCCTCGGAGCCAGTTGCTGTACACAGACAACAAAAATATTCGATAATACAAGTAAAAAAAATGAAGTAACAATCTTGGGAGCTCTGCCCTGGGCCGTGTCCTCTCCGTAACCCCCCGATTCCTCGCTCCCGGCTGTTTGTACAGCTTTACCTGTCCTGTTCTGGTACCCTGGAAAAAACCAGCCCGGCAAACGTAACTTAATCCGCTTTCAGTCAATTGTCGTCTAAAAGAGGGTAAAAAAGGGAGGGGGTGTGTGTTTGTCTGCCTATTCCCGCCCCGAGGTGCCACTCGCAGCGATGGGCAACGATGGGGACAAGAGGCAGCGGGTGGCCCCGGGGTCCCGGCACCAGAAAATGCTCCCTAAATACCAATTTTAATAGGAAGACCTGGAGGAAAAGTGGGGGGGGGCGGAGGGGGGGAGGCATCTTTAGTGCCCTTTGGTCATTTTTAGGGAAGGGGGAGGCTGGGTAACCGCCCCACTTCCCCCAGTTTGTGTGGGTTTGATTATTGTATTTAATTGTCTTTGATTTGATTCATTTAAACATTTATTTCCCCTCTTTTGGGGACTTTCAGTTATTTTTGGTCAAAAGCTTTTCCTCATGACTTTTTTAGCACCAGAACTGGCCCCATTTTCTTCCCACACCCCGCCAGCACTCCCCTATCTAGGAGGGATGTTCGCTTCCCCCCCCTCCCCATTACCCCCCGGCAGAATTAACCCCCGAGCCCCCGGCCCTTATCTGGCGGCTGGTGGCCAGCTTGGGGCTAATTGCTCCAACAATGGGCTCCTCTGAAGGCCGAGCTGTCACTGGAAACCCTGCGGTGGGGGGGGTGAGGGGTGGGCCGAGGGGCTGGAGCTGCAGTCCCAGCCTAAGAAAAGGACGGTCAATGCCAGCGCTCCTCGGGATCACAGATTAATCCGGGGGGGGAATGATGTGATTGCTTTTCTCTTTCTTTTTATTTCCTCTTTTCCACCCACTTTTTCTTTTTATGAAGGGGTTGGTTTTGCCCTCCCCGTCGCTCTTTCACCCCCGGCTGGGGAGGGGATAGGAGCATCGCGTATATTATTAGCGTGATAATGCAGAGAAAACGACAAGCGCAGGAAACTAGATGTGAAAGCGAGTGTTCTCCCCCCAGATTTGGGGCTAGGGCTGCGAGGGGCAGGCGGTGCTCAGAGTCCCGCAATGCCACCCTTTAACCGCTCCGCACGTCGGGGGAGGACGGGGCACTTCTTCCTCCTTCGCCATTGATCAGACTTGCTGTAGCTATTGATGTATTTTAATTTCATATGTATTTTATTACTTTATTTTATTTTTTATTCCCTTCAAATTCATTATTTCATTTCATTCTCTTATATTTTGATATTATTCATTTTATCTCGCATTAAACATTCCGTACCCACCAAGGAGATGAAGAAAAATGGTTTTCCCCTACCCCCGGACAGGGGAAAGGCACATTTCTTCGCTGCTTCAGCAATTTGGTGACCTCCAGACGCAAATTCCCCTCCTGTGGTCCCACGGCTGGAGGTCCCAGGGCTGTAACTGCGGATGGAGGGGATTTGGGAATCTCAGCTCACCTGGCCCAAAAGCTCGGCACTAAGAACCTCCCCCCCCCCCCCCCCGTACCCATATAGTAAAATAGATTTCTTTTTAAAGCGACTTTTCCCAAGTGCTGGAGACCACCCTCGCCCGCAGGGTCTGCTTGGGAGCTGGGGAAGTTTGGGAAGCGGGAATAAAGAGGCAAATCCCAATAAGACACTTCGCCCTCCCGGCCATAAAACGCTTAAATCTGGGGTCAGGGAGCGGGAAGTTTGCACTGTTGCCTGCAAATAAACCCATTCCTCCTCTCCCGTGCATCCCAAGAACTGGGGGGATCACCCTGAATTTTACGACTTTTAATACAATGGATACATAAGGGTGCATCCCCACGGAGGAGCGCGATCCCTCCGCTCTCTGTCCCCACGGACGGCCCTCACCGGGGGCTTAAAACCGCTTTTAAAGCCGGTTTCAAACGGCGCCGGGACCGGAGCTCCCTTCTGGCTGCTCCCCTCCGCCGCCCGTGGGGGCTGAGCCCAGCCTGGCACTGGCCCCGCCGACCGGACCCCGTGAGCGGACACCGGGGAGCGGCAGCTTCGCGGAGCCCAGTTCCTAATTAGCTCCCCCCTGTATAAAGACTCCAGGGAGACGCTTTCCCCGCAGCCAGGCAGACGCGCTCTTGCCGGCGTGAGCAGACACGGCGCGTAAAGGCACCGTGAGTGACTTTGTCTAATCCCTTGTACCTGTTTTCCCTCTAATTATTACCATCCCCCCCCTTTTATTTCTCCCCCCTTCTTCTCCCCCTTTTTTCTTCTTTATCTTTTTACTTTTCCCCTCCCGGTTTTTTATTTTTTTCCTTTATTTTTTCTTTTTCATTTTCATTAGTCTTTCCTTTCCTTTCTTCTCCTTTCCTATTTTCTTTAGCCTTTCCTTTCCTATTTTCTTTAGCCTTTCCTTTCCATTTTCTTTAGCCTTTCCTTTCTTTCCCTTCCTTTCCTTTCCCTCCTCTTCTTATTCTTCTCTTCTTTTTCGCTCCTTCTTCTCTTTTCTTCTCCTCTTCTCCTTCTTGTCCTCTGTCATTCTCCTCTTCCCTGTCATTATTTCCACTCTCCTCTCCCCCTTTCCCCTCTTCTCCCCCCTCCTCTCTCCCTGTTTCCCTCTCCCCTATCTCCCGTCCCATTCTCCCCGCCTCAGCCCCGCTGTCCCTGCCCGCTGCCGCGACGCCGCCGGGGCCGCTAGGGGATGCCCTGGCTCAACGCAGCGCCCGGCCCGGCCGGCGGGGCTCGGGCCCGCAGCCAATCAGCGCCTCCCGGGGCCGGCTCCCCAGTTCCTGCTCGCCCCCCATTGGCTGCGGGCGCGGTGGCGGCGGCCCCTGCTGGGAGGCGGCGGGGCCGGGACAGGGGTAGGGACCGGGGTAGGGACCGGTTCCCCCCAGTCTCCTCATCCCACCTCGGGCCTCAGCTCCCGCTTCCCTTCCCCTCGCCCCTCGCCTTGTCCTGCAATGGGATCTCCTGCAAAACGTGAAAGAAACCACCCTAAACCACCCCAAACCCGTGTTATCCCCGCACGCCGCCGTTCCCTGAACGTGGATCCTCACTAATAACAATTAAATCCTTTACGAGACGGAGCCGCTCTAAACCCGCCGCTCTAAACCCGTCCCGGAGGTCCTGCACCTGCCAGTGCATCCCGACTCATCCCGGCTGCCCTCGTGGGGTCTCCGGTCTCTCCTGCCCCTTCCCGGGATGTCTGCAGGAGAAGAGACCCGGTCCGGTCCCCACCGGGGTGGGCATTGGCAGAGTTTGCCGGCGAGGGGGGAAACTTTTCCTCTTTAGAACAGGGGAAAACATGAAATAACTAAAGAGAAAAGGGGCGGGGGGGGGAAAGATTCAAAGTTGGTCCAAAGGGGTTCCGGAGGGGGCGGCCGGTGCGTCCCGCCGGTCCCCTCCTCGGGCGGGGACAGGCTCCGCCTCCCCCGGGCTTATGACACTGGAACCTCCTTAAGTTGCGTCTCGCCGCAGCTGTCTGTAAGCGCTGAGCCGGCTGGCGCCATCCTGCTCCTTTCCGAAAGAATGCCTTCCCTGTGAAAAAAAAAAAAAAAAAAAAAAAAGAAAGAAAAAATGAGTGAGAGAGGGAGGAAAAAAAAATAGGGAAAAAAAAATTAGGGCGAGCGAGCGAGCACAATCTGATCTGATCGAGCACTTTCAGCTTCATCCCTCCCGGGTCACACACTGCTTCTCCGCCAAGGTTTGTGCGCAATTTCTTTAGCAACTTGTCGCTTTTTTTCTCTCCCCTCTCCCTCTTTCCCCCCCGCTCTCCTTTTCTCCTGCACCCACACCCCCTTCTGCATCGCCTCCCCCCCTTGTATCCCCCCCTTCTCCTTTCTCTTTTCCCCCTTCTTTCCCCCTTTCTCGGTTGCATAATAATTAATGAGCAATCAAAGTGACTGCGGAGCAGAGAAGGGCACAAGTTCTCACCAGCTTGAGCCGCTGGAGCTTCTCAGGTGCAAATGGAGCAAATAAACACATAGACAAACAACCGCGATGACAAAAAAGGAGAGAGAGCCCCCCAAAACCCACCCCCAATAACCCAGCGAGAGCAGGAGGAGGGCGGCGAGAGCTGCTCCGAGCAGGGAGAGAGCGAAAGAGAAAGAGGCGCTGGGAGAGGTGGGTCCAGGGCAGAGCGGGCGCTTCCCAGGGATGGCTGCCGAGCGATGGGATGGGTTTTCTCCTGCCTAAAAAGTCAGGTGCTAAAGTTCAGAACTTCTCAAGCACGTTTCTCTCTCTTGCCTCTCCCTCCTCTCTCTCTCTTTCTGCTCCTTCCCTTTCCTCTTTCTCGTTACAGGTGATCAAAGAAGAGAAACATCTGCAAAAGAGCGGAAGATACCGAGGGGATCTCACTTCGTAGAGTTTTTTATCCCCTGAGTTTGTTTTCTTTTTTTTTCTTTTTCTTTTTCTTTTTTTTTTTACATTATTTTTCTTCTTTTTTTTCTTTTACTTTTCTTTTTTTTTATACTTTTTTTTTTTTTTTTGGAACCGACTTTTTCCCACCATACCCCCCCCTCCACTTCCAACCAAACTTAACCAGAAAGCATCCCCAAACTCGCCGAGCACTTCCGCCCCCCGCTCCCAATAACTCCGGCAGCGTCTCTCCCTCCGTGCCTTGCTGAGGAGGAGGAAGAGAGGAAGAGCAGCGGCGGAGCAGCGGGCGCGGAAGATGGAGGTCTCCACGGACCAGCCGCGGTGGGTGAGCCCCCACCACCCTCCCGTGCTCAATGGGCAGCACCCGGACTCACATCACCACACGCTTGGCCATACCTACATGGACCCCACGCAGTATCCTCTCGCCGAGGAAGTGGATGTACTTTTTAATATCGACGGACAAGGCAACCCCGTCCCTCCCTATTACGGCAACTCCGTGAGAGCCACCGTGCAGAGATACCCCACGGCCCACCACGGTGAGTGCCCCGCAGACACCGAGATCCCGGCCCCACCAGCTGGGAAACGAAGTCACGGGTGGATTTTGGGGTTGGTTTATTGGAAATAAACCCACATCCACGCTGTGTTCCTTCCTTCCCTCCTTTCTCTTTCTTTACCTATCTTGTTAAAATATTCTTTTTCTCTTTCTTTATACTTCTTTTATTCTCTTATCTCTTTTCCTCTTTTCTATTCATTTTTCTTTCTCTTCTTTCCCTTCTTTCACCTCTTTCCCCTCTTTCTTTCTTTACACCTTTCCCTTCTTTCTCCCTTCTTTACACCTTTCCCTTTCCTTTCTCTTTCCCTCTTATCTTTATACTTCTTTCCCTTTCTTTATCTTGCTCTCTTCTGCTCCTCTTACCTCTCTCCCTTCCCTGCTTTCTCTCCTTCTCCTTCCTCCCCTTTCTCTCCCTTTCATCTTTCTCTTGCTTTATTCCTCTTCCCCTCTTTCCAGCCCCCTGCCCCTCTTCAATTAGGTGAACAGTCCGGGTTTTCATGCAGTGTTTAGTTTTTGCACGATTAAGCTGCTCTGGGGCAGAAAAGCCGGCTGGGGAGCAGGGGTGTGAAGATGACCCCGCTGTCCTCACGCTTGGGTTATTCCATTGGCACTCGGGAAGCTTGCTAGGGCTTGGGTCGAAACTTTCACACATGCGCCCAGGGCCTCACCACGGCGTGTGTTCAAAATAAGAGAGAAAGGCAAAATGTAAGCGCCTTGCCGTCGTTAGGTACCAGCCCGGCTGTGTTTTCCTGAGGGTCCTGCAGGAAGGTAATGATCCACAGTGTGAGTTTAGTTCCTGGGTCACAGCTTTTAGAAAAGAGGTGAAATACCTGGCGCCGATGGGGCCCGGGTCCACAGAGGGATGAGCGCTTTGGGGCCATCTTTTAGGAGGAATTGGAGAGATGCAGTGGTTGTAGCTGGAGTTTACCTGTGCGGTTAAGAATATAGGGAAAAAGGTTCAAACAAGAAAGGGAGGGAAAAAACAGACGGTGATTTGTGAAGCCGGACAGTGGCGGCCGTCCTGTCGAAATCTAAATACCCGAGGTTTGCAGTGGAAATCACCCCAAAATGAAGGAGCAGAAAGCGGGATAAGTGAGCAGAGATGGAGGCAAGCCGGTTAGGGGGCTGCTCCCGGCCCTCAGCTACTTGTTGAGCGCGAGTCTGCATTAGGCTCCGCTCAGTAACTGCATTGTTCTGCTATTAGACCCTTTAAAACAATTATTTCTAAGGATCAGCAGCCTTTGTCCGTTCTTTCTTTGCATTTCTCTCTCTTTTTTCCCCCCAATATATCAGCAGAAAGTGGAAATGCGGTCTCTCTGATCTCGCCTGAATATTATTTACTATGTTACTTCCTGGAGAAGATAATGAATCTTGACCCTTTCTATTCGTATAACCCACCTTCCCTTCCTTTCGAGCAGTTACTTTCAGTATTGTTCACAAATGCCTGGTACGGTGCAAAAGTAGCTTGGAGTTTTTCTAGACACTCACAAGCTCCCATGCAAACATACGTGGCCACACTGCACCGGCTCCTTAACTCTCCCTGGCTCTGTAGATCTCTGTTTGCATCTCTCCTTCTGTATGTTTAGCAGCCTTTACACACATATCACGATACCTACAGAGGTTGAGGCTCTCTAGATGTCAAATCCTTTTCCACGGCTCTATTGGCAGGCACAAACTTGTTCTTTTCCAGTTGAGTAACTGTGGTTTTCAGCTTATAGCCGTTTGCACGAGTTGCTGGGGATTTTGGGTAGATTTGGTTTTTTTGGGGGGATATAGTTTTATTTCTTATGGCGAGGGAAAGATGAATTTAAAACATTCCTTAAGAACATTTATAACCCAAGGAGAAAAATAGGTATGACAGCGTAAATCTAGCCTAGTAAATCTATTCTGTGTTTATTTCAAAGCCCAGGTCTGTCTGTTAAAATATAAGTGAAGGATCTCCTGTCATAAGAAAGGGATGAAGATTTTCCTTGGGGACAGTGGGTGCCCTGTTCTTGTGCCATATCGCCATGAAAAAGCCGCCTGACATTTATGTGCAGCCTCATGGAAAAGGGGGGACAGAAAAGATACAAACCGGGCAGTTTACAAAGTGTATCGGCTCTGTTGGGAAGGTTGTTGTCAAGTTTGATGGCACCTTCTGGTCTCCTTCGTTTGGCCAGAATATTCCCAGGGTTTATAGCCCAAGGCAGCGTGCGGGAAATCATTTCCCAGCTAAGAAAAATCAAATGAATTCTGCAGCGGGGTCTTGGCAATTTCAGGCAGGATCTTCGCTCCAGAGGCTAGGAAGGGGAGACAGTGAAGCCGAATTCCATGTCCCGGGGGGCGGGGGGGGAACACATACAGGAGAGGGATCGGGGCTGTTATCTCTTTAGTTGTTACTTTTTAAAGGGGAGCGGGGTTTTACATCCGATGTCATTTGGGATGCAGAGCCCTTTGGGGGGGGGGGGGGTAAATGGGAAGTGGGGTCCAGCCCGGCCCCCCGTGTGTCCGTGGGGTGAGGGGAGTGTGACCGGTGTGCGGCTGTGCTCTCTCCGCGCAGGGAGCCAGGTCTGCCGCCCGCCGCTGCTGCACGGCTCTCTGCCCTGGCTGGACGGGAGCAAGGCGCTGAGCAGCCACCACAGCGCTTCCCCATGGAACCTCAGCCCTTTCCCCAAGACCTCCATCCATCACAGCTCACCGGGACCCCTCTCCGTTTACCCACCCGTCTCCTCTTCTACCTTATCCGCCGGCCACTCCAGCCCGCACCTCTTCACCTTCCCGCCGACCCCTCCGAAAGATGTGTCCCCGGATCCGTCCATCTCCACACCCGGCTCCACCGGCTCCACCCGGCAGGACGAGAAGGAATGCATCAAATACCAGGTGTCCCTGGCTGATACCATGAAGCTGGAGTCCTCTCACTCCCGGAGCAGCATGGCCTCTTTAGGAGGAGCCACCTCCTCTGCTCATCACCCCATCACGACCTACCCGCCGTATGTCCCAGAATATGGCTCTGGACTTTTTCCCCCCAGTAGCCTCCTAGGAGGATCCCCTACCGGGTTTGGGTGTAAATCGCGACCGAAAGCACGGTCAAGCACAGGTAGGGGTTTTGGCTTCTTCATGCCCATTACTCGGGAGGGGAAGTTATGTGGGAAAACGGGAGGGCAAAAGGACAAGGGCTACCCCCCATCCTTTCCGTACGGAGGGATGCGCACAAGCATCCATGTGATGAAAGCCCCAGGGCTGAGGGATCAACATTTCACCTTGCCCTGGTTTATAACCCATCTCCCCCTCGGCCAGCCCGGGCTTGGGGTGCAGCCCCAGGCCTGTCGGCATCACCCCAGATCCTCAGGGCTCCAGCCCGGGGGATGCTCCGGTCCTCCCCCCCCTCCTCCTCCCCAGGCGCCCCCGGTGCGCTCAGCTCCGGCGCCTGAGGAGGAAGCGAAACCCAAGGAACCGCAGCATTGGTGTATCTCTGTATCTTAATCATGGTACTAAATCCCGGCCAACTTCCCCTGCCTGCCCTCTCCTCACCGCTTTTCCCATGGCCTCTTCCCCAGAGATATCGGGAGGGTTTTCCCTTGGGGGGGGCATGGGAACACCCCGAGGCATCCCCTAGCCCCATCCACCTCCATTTCAGGACTTTGCCCACCTGCAGCCCCATCCGTTTCCAATCGAAGACTTCGCCCATACCTAACGCACCACCTCAGAGCTGCAGGGTGGGGGGACCCGGGGTGTCCCAGCGCTCTGCGCACCCCGCGGAGTGCGGGAGTTGTGCGGCTGCGGGACCCGACGGCTGAACTCTCCGTGTTTGGACGTTTGTGTGCAGCGAGGGGGGTGTATGTGTGTGTGTGCAGAGGAAAGGGCCGTTAGTCAAAACTCTCTTTTTCTCTCTCTATTTCTTTTTCCGAGGAGGCTGCTGCAGGGTTGCCTGGCATGAATGAGATCAGTTTTCAGGGTTTTTCCAGGGTGACATTTACTCTGTCTGTCTGAGCAGGGACTGTCTCTATTTAGCTGATATGTTTGAGCTAATCCAATTATTTTCAGACTGCTGCACGCGACAGTTGCATTGTTTATCCAGCGCCAGGAACTTTAATAGAGTCCGGATGCGGTTAGAGTGACAAAAAAACCCAGACCTGTATGTTTTGTACATGAAAGCAGGGGAGAGAGAGAGATGGAGTGAGACAAAAGAGAGGGACAGAGGCTCAAACAGCCCCGGAGCGGCTGCCCCCGTTTAACCGGAGGGGGACAAAACGACCTGGGTATTAACGGGAGCGGCTCGCAGCCTGGCCCCGGTACGGACCGGGTGCTGTGTCGGGGTAGGGACCGGTTGTTGCCGGGACGGGCCGAGCTCCCCCGGCCGCCCGCTGAGCCTCAGCTCCCGCAGGGGCACCGGCTGCGCGGTATTTTCAAACCGTCTCCCCCCCCGCGCTCTGCCCCCCCTCGTTGTTTTCCTTTTTCTACTTTCTGTTACTTTACCTTCTAGAGAGGCATCTGCGGGTTGTGATAACCCAGCCCCAGCAGCAACACCTAATTTTGTTCCTTTGTGTTAAAGTTGATTTTAGCAAGTTGGGAAGCGCGCAGACAAAGAGGGCTGGGGCTGGAGGGAAACGAGAGGGAATGGGCTGGTTTTGCAGGATGAAAGAGGGAGAAACAGCTGAAAAAGAGAGCGTTCTTGTTGTTGTTGTGGTGTTTTGGAAGGGTGGTGAGAGGAGAGGGGTTCAGTGCAAAGGCTCTGGAAAAACGGTTGCCGTTTGTGGTTAGGGCGCGGATGTCTCTTGCTTGAATGCAGTGCAGGCTGGGGCAGCGGGGAGCCGGCTCTGAGCTGAGTTAGCTCTGCTCTGGCCGGCTCAGGTCTCCTGCTGCTCTCACATGGGCCAAGAGTGTCATTAGGCGCAAAGAAACCAACCCAAATATACCAAACGTCCAACAGAAATACTCTTCAAACCTCAGAAAGTAGATGAGCTGCATTCCCGCACCCCCCCTTAATTCCCTTTTCCAAGCTGGGGCTGTGGGACACCCCCAGTAAGTGGGGAGAAGATAGAGAGGTGGCAAAAAGGAGGAGGAGAAGGAGGGAAAGACCCTAATCAGGGTCTTTTGGGATCCCAAATACTGGGGATCGACCAGCAGACTGAGGACGCAGTGGGGAGGACAGAGAGGTTTCCACAAGTTGGGTGGTGGAAGCTTCATTGCAAATTAATCAATAGCAGATATTGGCAGAGAGGTTGTGTATTGACTGGGGCCAGGAGGTGTTTTAATTGTTGAGATGTGATTATTTTGGGGGCCTTGATGAGGTTTGATCTGAGGCCAAAGGAAGATTCTCCCTTGCCAGGCTCATGGGAGCTGGGGCAGTGTTCCAGGAGTGACCCTGGGGTCCTTGGAAAGGGGGGCATGGACTTACATTGGGTATCCAACCATCTCGGGGGAAAGGGATGGAGGCCCCTTGCAAAGCCTGCTGAGGTTTGCCTGGCCCATGTGGCAACATAGGGGCTGGAGGGCTGTAGAATCCCTAAATACAGAGGTGAGGGGGGAATTGTCATCCCACCACAAAGGAGCCCCTTGAGCCACCATGGAGTTTGGGTTGTAATTATCACCATGCCTCTTCTGCTGGGACATGGGCCTGATGGTGCCTGTGGGGTGATGCTGGGGAGGCAGTCGGGATGCCAGGGATGTTGCTCAGCCATGGCCTTGGAACCTTGCTTGGACATCCTGAATTTGGACAGATCTGGCAAGACCTGACAGGGCTGCAACTTGTATGGGTTTATTTTGGGGGCGGCCTTTTCCCAGCCTATTTTACCTCTGCTTTCCTAAGTGAACTATGTGCTTTCTTGTTTCCAGAAGGCAGGGAGTGTGTAAATTGCGGGGCTACCTCAACCCCTCTGTGGAGAAGAGACGGCACTGGGCATTATTTGTGTAACGCCTGTGGACTCTATCACAAAATGAACGGGCAGAACCGGCCCCTGATCAAACCCAAGAGAAGGCTGGTGAGTCTCCTTCCATTTCATTCTTTCTTTACCTTCTTCTGCAACTTTTTCTTCTTGTCTGCAGCTCGGGATGGACAGGGAAGCTCAGCCAGCTCCAAAATCTGCTTCCACTACATCAGAGGGCTGGGAGATGGGGATGCTTGGAGTGATGCTCCTAGCTGCTGTGGGCCTCAGTTGTTTGGCCTTCTTGCAAAGTGAAAAACAGGTTAAAAAATCAAGACCGAGAGCTTAATGTAAACCAGGACTGAATTTTCTCCCAGGTCACAATGGGGCAGATGCCTCCCCAGTGCTCTTTGGGATGGTGACACAAGGACAATGGGGACAGTGGCTCTTTCCATGGGCTAAGGGCAACGTAATCATTTCCTAGTAACCAAAGAGATTAGTATCAGGAGAACAGGATCTCTCCTGGGCTTTCCACGCTGCTGTCTTTCCCTTTTCAAGTGTGTTTCCATCCCCTTTGGTTGGCTGTGTCGTGGAAAGGGGACATAAGCTAGGTACTGGGTACCACTAGGCCATCGCCTGGACTTTGGTCCTGAAAGATTCTTGGCTGATGCTCCTGGTGCCACATGTGGTCCTTTGTACCACAACTATGTGGGTCTAAAATCATGTCATTCCTCTCCGAGTTGGTGTGATCAAGAACATGAGATAGGGGATGGCAAAGGCTGGTGAGTGTGTAAGGTAGAATGTGTACCTGGGGTCACAAAAGCTGGAGGCAGACAAAATGCATAGCTATATTTGAAGTCCTAGTTGCAAGCCTCAGGACTGTACAGAGCACAGGCAATAAGTTACAGCATCCCCAGTGATCTACTTATGAATTTCCCTGGAAGCCACAAAAAGGTCTGGAAGCTGTGGGCATGGGTAATAAATGCATTGCAATTGATTTGGCAAATAATCAGGCAAACCACAAGGGGAAAAGATACATCAAAGTGGGGGGAAAAAACATGTTCCCTGCTTGGGAAGTTATTGAATGTTTTGAATTGGGGCACGTTTGGTTTCGTTATTGTTCAAAATGTGGATGGGCTCCTGGAGGCCACTCAAAATGTGGAGGAAAAGCAGCTCTTGCCTCTCCATGGAGTTTCTGAGGTGATGGATGGATCCAGCCTTGCATAAGGCTTGTGCCTGGCATGGCTGGATCCTGCAGGAAGGAGAGCGGTGATACAAGGTTTATCGACCTTGTATTCCCCATGAAGGTGCTCAGGGGTTCGGAGGAGCAACTCTTAGGCATGGATTCAGCTTCCTCACCTGCAAAACTGGACTGGCTTTATTAGGCCAGCTTTATTCCCATAGGTGCTGGGAAGTGTTTGCAGGATACGGCCCCAGGAGCGGTTGCACTGTGAGGGGCAGTGGTGGCAGCTCTGCCTGACCGTGTGGGTTTGGGGGAAGACGTGGGTTTGCTCCTCCACCCCCAAACTTCCCTGATGAAACTTCCCCTATACGGGAAAAGCCCGCATAGGAAAACGTTGGTTTCCTTCATCTCTCACAGCCTTGCTAGAAAAAAGGAAAAGCTTTCTAGGGAGGGAAGTAGAGGCTGGGATTTTGATTCTTTCAGGCAGCTCTTTTGCTGCCTTCTCCTCCTCCCCCCGGCCCTTGTGTCTTAAACACACCCCCCTTCGTTTTCTTTTTCCTTTCCTTTTTTTCCCCTCCTCCTCGTTCTCTCTTTATGTGTAAAGTGAACTTCCTAGGAAAAAGCTGCCGGATATCTGAGCCCTGGAGATAACTCCCAAACAACAGCTCTGTTTCCCCAGCCCAAACACACAGGAGCTTGAGCGTATCCAAACAAGCGGAGGGGGAGGCAGAATAGGAAAGCGGCTGGAAAGAGACAGGGGGGAGAGCTTTCAAACACTGTCTGATGGAACCACGAAAGAATGTCCCGAGTCACCCTCAGCCCAGCACATGTAAAATGAACTGTATAAATAAATACATTGTAAAAGGTCATTCTTGGGGGAAAAAAAATAGGAAAGGGAAAGAAAAAAAGTAAGGAGAGAGCTTGCCTTGCATAACCACTCCAATCTTGTGCATTTTAGTTAAAGTTACAGAAAGTTCCCATTCTTTAGACGTGGTTTTTGTTTAACGGGAACTTCTGAATTTTCTATATATATTTTTTTATCCAGCGCTGCCTGAGGAGAAAAAAACCCAAGAGAAACATTTCTGATACTGTTTGTATCTCTATTTATTTCCCCCAGAAGACACAAAAGCTGGGCCTGCATTTGCTTTTCATGTGCATCGATGTTGATGTGTATCTGCAGCTTGACTTGATCTTTCCTCACCTGTGAAGGCGAGGGGGCTGAGGAAGGTGACATGTGATGGAGGGTCAGGCTGGGGATCCAGTGTGTGCTCCTCTGCCTCTGCCACAAATTTCCTGCATGACCTTGGCCTGCTTTCGTAGGCTCTGATCCCAGGCATGCTAAAGCTAATGAAAGGACTCCAATGGGTGGGAGAGAGAAGGCAAATAAATAATTTAGATGCTGAGAACCCAACCCAAGGTTTATTAAATTCAATGGGTGTCTTTGTAAGGGCTTCCTTTAGGGAAGATGGATTGAGTTTTGTTGGCTGAGGGGGCCTAGACAGCTCTGCTTCATCTTGGGGGGAAGATCTGGAGATGTTGCAGGAACAGGATTGTAGTACCACACCACTGCAGTCTGTAGACAGGGTCTACAGACCTCTTGGAGACCATTCCTATCCCTGTTGAAGCTAATGGCAGTTCTGTCACTGCTGTTTCTGAGATAAAACCTTCTTTATATTTTCTTTCTTTTCCTTTCCATGTGGATGCAGAGGTTTCCATTTCTGTGTCCAGTCGTGCTGGTTTTTGAAGGATTATAACCAGTTTCTCAGAAGGCCCCTGCACATGCAGCCGCATTTAGCTGATGCTTGCAGTGTTGTGGGTACCCCATGCAAATCCAGACACTTGATATGCCCCTTAATTAAGCATCTTTATCAGAGGGTGGGTCTTCCCACATCATCCTCAATTCCACCTTCTCATCACTACCAGCAGTTCCGAAGTTGTGCCTTCGCTCACACACAGCTGGGCCATGGGGGGTCTGGTCCTGCAGGTGATATGGGGCACCCTGTTAGTCAACCCACTACTTGCATGGACAGGCTGGACTTGGTGATTAGCATCAGTGGATGCCACTGCTAGGAGCTTTTATAATAGCGTTATTATTCATTGTTTCCTGCTTGCTTCTGGTGTCTCTGACAAAAGTTAGTACAGCATAAAAGGTACAGCCTGGGACCAAAAGAGCACAGAGTATAAAACATACAGCTAATGATGCTGAATTTTTGTAGGGGAAACATGGCAGATGGAAGAGGTTTTAGAGAAGACAGTGGATGCTGTGATTTATTTGCTTATTTAATGTCAAGAGTTTGTTTGAAGGCAACAAGCTGGTGACCAGGCATGTCTTTTAAATATGCTTGCCATAAGAGAAATTATGGTGAGTGCCGTGTAGAAACCCCAAATATCTTCAAAGGGGATGTTTCCCCTGTGTGGGCTGAGTCAAATATCACTGGTTTTCAGAAATTTCCCTAGGCTTGATTTTTGGGTCTGATAAGGGCAAAGCTGCCATCGAGAGACTCAATCCAGCCACTGAGCCACCCGTGCTGGGGGGAGCCAGTGGGGCAAAGACCTCCAGACTTGTACTCAGGGTCTCAGTGAGAGCCCGGCTCTGCAGTTGGCTGTGTCTGTGCTACATTTGATGTGTGTGTGTTACCCTGGTGATTTTGATGGGAACCAAATCTGGTGCCATGGCATGGTCTGGAGGAGGAGAGGACAGAGGTGGGGCCCTGCTGTCGGTGGTTGGATGCTTCAGCTTCTGCTGTCACTGGGATTTTTGCAACCAAAGACCCATGTGCTATTCGCAGCTCCTGATTGTCATCAGCACGGAAAAGTCGGCTGAAGGCCTCCTCAGGCTTGAGATCGCCTCATTTCAGCATGGTTTATGGTCAGGCAAAATGGAATTGTCCCCATGGGCAGGCAGTGAGAGTTCTTTGCTGTTGGATCTGGGGCTCTGTAATGCTTCCTAATGCTCATGGGCATTGCGTTATTTATTTTTTAGGCAGTCCTTTTTGTCTAATTAAAAGGGGGGAAAAAAAAGAAAACTTCTTTATCTAAAACAAAACCAACCCGTCCTCTCTCCACCTACGCCGCATTCAATTATGATTAAAATTGCAACATGACCTAACAAGAGCTGGTATAAACGCTCGCGCTGTGCCAGTGTCCGTGTTTGCATTTTGGGTTTGTTGTACGGGATCCAAAGATGCGTTATTTTTTCTTTTAAATGTTGGATGTGCTACAGTGTGCGGCTGTGTGGGGTGAGGGGTAAATTTGAAACAGTAAGAGCACAAAAGGGAGCATTAAAGGCTCAGTTCTGCAAGGTGCCAAGCATTGCTATGATCTGGCAAATCGCTTAAGCACATGTTTTAACTTTAAGCACATGAGCAGTCCCATTGAAAGCGACGCATCGGGATGAAATCAGAGCTCTGGGAGTGTGTCATATTGATGAAGAAAAGAGAGGATGGAGATCTAAAGGTCTCTTTTTTTAGGAGCTGTAGGCACTTGCACACACGCAAACATGCATAGGCATTCACATGGAAGTCTGCAAACTCCTTTTCCTCCTTCAGTGGCAGAAGGACAATTTGTTTGCTGAAGTTACAGTTTTGAAATTATAAGCACGAATTCATGCATGTGAAAGGAGAGCGACTTGGTTAAATTTGGCTTCCCTAAATCATTATCACAGCTAACAAAAAAGCTTCTGTATACACTTTGACACATAGACTTCTTTTTCCCCTTGTTCCTCCCCCTTTATGAAATGGTAAATTCTTGTTTCAGGCTCATTACCAATCCTTAAATAAACATGAAGGTTTAGACTGCAAGAGGGTGTAATTAAAAAGTTGTGATTCTCGCTCTTCGCCACGGTGTTATTTCCGCTCTGGAGCCCGTATCCTTTGAAGCCGAGCTGAATTGACGGGACAGAGCTGTGCTTGCGGTCGGACCAGGCGAGCAGCTGCCCACCATGCCCAGTGCGGGTCTTACCCAGTGCTCACTGGAGCCAGCATGACTCATGCCATTGACTTCAGCAACTGTTGGTTCAGGTCCTGACTGCAGAATTAGACCCCTGGGGGGTCTGAGAGATTTAAGATGGAAAGACATGTTGGCATTTAAATAATATTTTCCCCTCTGGAATGGGCTGTGCCAGCACTGCTAATTTTGATGAGTTCTATCAGAGGTTTAGCACTCACTTCTAGGATGCCCTTTGGCACCTGATTCAGTTCATATATAATTTGGGATTAAAGTACCTTGGGGATTTTTTCCTTTCTTTTGCAGAATTACTGTCTGTTCTCACAAGCTGGTTTCTGGAGGTCCCTGTCAACGTGCACCAGTCTTTCAGGGTGGATGTTTTCTTTCTTGGAGATTTTGCTGATGGCATATTTTTCTTTTTAATATGATTTTTTTTTCTCTTCTTCCCTTCCCCTTTTCTCTCCCCCTCACCCCCCGCAGTCTGCAGCCAGGAGGGCGGGCACGTCCTGCGCGAACTGTCAGACCACCACTACCACCCTGTGGAGGAGAAATGCCAACGGCGATCCCGTCTGTAACGCCTGCGGGCTCTACTACAAGCTGCACAATGTAAGTGTGACTGTAACGCTCCATAACGGGGCCTCAGTTGTGGTGCTCGATGCTCCATACTTGTCCTTGACTTAAGGTTTTCCAGTCGCAGATAGTGCTGATGCCTCCTTTACCCCTTTCAGGACATGAGGGGTTGGAGTGAGGAGCCGGCATCCCCTCAAACATAGCTGATTTGACTAGGGGAGGTACAAAACAGGGCTGTCCGTGGGTAATGTTAGAGCTTTCCCATGCCTGAGCCAAGAAAGGAGGGGTGGATCAACACAGAGAGACATTATCTGCTGCTGATTGGGCTCAGTGTGTTGGAAAAGACAACACGCCGTCCTGCAAGCTGATACCCCTTCTAGGCATAACTTGGTTCCTCCAGCAAATACAAACTCTGGAAAAAAAGCAAAATGTGCCAGCAACTATTTAGATCTTTCTTGGGTTTGCGGCCGCCTTTGTCCCTTCCCTCCGCCTGTCCCCAAAGATGATTTATTTAGGTCTTGTGTTTTGCCCTGGTTGACGCAAGTGATTCCTAAACCAAAAAGGACTTCATTTAGTTCGTGGGTTGCAGAGTCTGCTCAACCTGTGATGTGAATTTTAAAGCCTCTGCCATGGAAGGGAAGGAGAAATGAAATGGCTGGCAGATTTAATCTAATGTCTCCATGTGAAGCCAGCTTGCAGGAACCAGGGATATGTGCCCCAGGGACAGCTAAATGGATCTGAAAATTCTTCTACTGAATAATACTGCTAATAAAGGAGTCTTAAGGCTACTCCTGTTACTCTGACTCCACATGTGGCATTAGAATAATTAGTATGTCAGAAGAAGGGAAGACTTTCAATTTCTTTGCTTTGATTGACCTTATATTTTTTTCTTCCTAGTGGTCATTTGCTTTATGTTGGGCCTAGAAATCTCAGGCTATGTTTTGCCCTTCTGTCCACCCATGCAAACACATCAAAGACAGATCTGATTTCCCGGAGCACCCAACCCTTGTGGTGTCTTAGTCCCCTGCATTTGTTATTTCAAGCTCTTTGGTTTCCTGTGATGAGTAAACAAGTTTGGATTAAGTAGGACAAAAAAAAAGAAAACCCAACTGTCAACCAGGCTAATTTTCACCTGTTTTGTGAGAGGCATCTCTCTTGGAAAACAGGAAAACGTGTTTACCCTGTAGCAAGCAGGCGCCTCAGCCCGTTTCGAGTCCTATGTAGCAAGCAAAGCTTGTCATCAAACTCTCAGTGTGGTCACTGCAAACAAAGGGGGTGGACCCAGAGTGAAAGCTCTGAGCCTACCACAAGAAAGTATTCTGTTTGCTATTTCCATGGCAAGAAGGGAGAAAGGTCAGCCAGATTCACTGGAGGAGTCTGTGCTTCTGTTTTCCTTTTGGTCTTGTAGCCACCAGTAGTAGGACTTATATCATATAGACTGGGAAACAGACAGGGAGACCTATATCTGGGCTGCTCCCCTTGTACCTTGGCAAAGCCCTTTGAAAAAGATAGGCTCTTCTCAGGTTGGACCTGTTGGAGGTGCCTTTGTTTGGGTGAGATGATTTTTACCCTTGAAGATGGTGTAGTTTCTCCCTACAACTATAAAAGGTGGCAAAATGATGGGTTCAGATGTGTCAGCTGCATTGTAGATATCTGACTGGAAGAATCCCCTTTAAGGTGTCTAGAACGGTGCCTGGATGCTGAGGGTCTCCAGAAATGTGCTCCAAGAGCACATCCTGTTTTTTTTCATGTTAACTCTGTGATCCCAGTTGTCCTGAATTGACCCCCTAGACCCACTGTTTAGGGAAAGTCCATTCCAGCTGTGAAATTTGTGACATGGGGCAGGCCTTGAGCACATTGGAACTGTTTTCATATTCGTTAAAAACACTGACAGCTGCTTAAAAGCTCAGCACAGCTACTTAGCAAAGTCAAGTAGTATCTTGTCTTACAAGAAACTCTGTTAATGGGTCCTGCTTAAGTGAACCCCTAGAGGACTGAGATGCTGTGTGAATAGTATAACTAGACAAGGATGCCAAAGACTGGCTGTGAGTGGGTAGATCCTTTGATTTTACTTTTTGAGATGATTCTTAGTTATCTCAGTTAGGTCCATGATGGCACAGCATTGGAACACTATTCTGCAGCCCAGCTTTCTTTAGAGGTTGTGGCTCTGAAGGCCACATTATGCTTCAGGAGCCAAATATTTCAGGAGTTAAGACTTTTGTGAGCAGTGGTAAGGCTGGGATAGCCTCATGGGGGTGCCTTCTCATTATGGCTGTTGTGAGGCAGGACCTAGGGATCTGAGCTAACTTCCTGGTGAATGGCACCAGCATCATCCTTTATTCAACTGAAGGCAGGGAGGAAGTTTGGTGGTTGCACATGAAGAAGGCTCCTTGGCTGGATCAGATTGGTCTGGTCTGTTCAAGTGCAAGACCCCTTTATGCAGGCTGTGGTCCTGCTCCCTGTATGTCACCTTATCTGCACTGGTTCTCCATCAGGAGAGGTTTCAGAAATAGAAATGCTCAGTGTAGCTTATCCATCCCAAACACCTGAGTGTCTGCACAGATGTTGCATCAATGACAGTGAAAGGTCTTTAGATGCTTGTGAGATACCTTAACCCTGTTTCAGGCTACGGTACAGTAAACTCATGGTTGTTTTTTATCTTTCTTCCTCCCCATTTTGTTTTTTCTTTGGGTTTAATGAATTTTTCTTGGGCCTTCAGATCTTTACGGTATTTTAATGGATTGATCTGAAGGTGAAACTTACCCAGTTTTTAAGTCCACAATGTGAACATTTGCAATGAAAAGGCTATTTTTTGCTATGGGTTTATTTTTTTTCATGGGGCTTTATCAGTTTGTTTTACTGTTGATTCCCACAGCTTAAGCAAACCCATTTGCAGGTAGGATATAAGCAACAATCATAATAGTCTTGGGGCGCATTTAGTGAAGCTGCTGTTTTTTCTCCCAACAAGAAGAGGCTCCATTAACACCAGTATTAACAATGGTTAATATTTCATATTGATACAGTGCCTTTCAGCCTGTGGCATCCCAGAGTGCTTTCTATGATACAGCCAGTCTGGAAGATTAACCCCACATTTTAATGACTATGTCTGAAGGATAAATCCGTGCCAGTGACAGGACCTTATTGAGGTCAATGGCAAAATCCCATTGTCTTCAGTCAGAACAAGATAGAATCATAGAACCATAGAATAGTTAGGGTTGGAAAGGACCTCAAGATCATCAAGCTCCAACCCCCCTGCCATGCTCTAAACCATATTACCCAAGGCCTCATCCAACCTGGCCTTGAACACTGCCAGGGATGAAGCATTCACAACCTCCCTGGACAACCTATTCCAGTGCCTCACCACCCTAACAGGAAAGAATTTCCTCCTTATATCCAATCTAAACTTCCCCTGTTTAAGTTTTAACCCATTACCCCTTGTCCTATCACTACGGTCCCTAATGAAGAGTCCCTCCTCAGCATCCTTATAGGCCCCCTTCAGATACTGGAAGGCTGCTCTGAGGTCTCCATGCAGCCTTCTCTTCCCCAGGCTGAACAGAGATCAGACTATCCTCTCGATCTGACCTGTTGTATGTGAGGTTCTCGTTGTTTTAGTCCTTCTTAGAAGCAGGATGAGCCTTCACTCACTTCAGGGATGGGGAGAGGGAACCTTGTTGGAGGTGCACGTCAGGCTGGGCTGTGCCCATAGGAATGAGTAGGTTGCCGTTGTTTTTGCTACAAGTCCTAAGAAAAGACCTCTTTCACAATATCCTAAAGTAGGGCTGTGCATCCCAAGAGCAGAGCAGTTGGCGTTTTGCATTTGATAAAACAAAGAGCATAATCCATGCCCATAATTAATTGGCTCCATCTGAAATTAATGAATTTCATATACATGCACTGGGCTGGTTTAATTTTAATTTAGCATGTGTTTGTCATTTTTATCACAATGGATTTTCATGGAGAAGGTCTTCCCTCTGGGTATCTTGTTTCCTACCCCAGAAACAGAGACGAGGCCACGGCTTTGATGTTTTGGGAACTACCTTAATTCTGCTGTGACTGACCTTTGAAGCCACTGGAAGATATTCCAGCTTACTGCTGTGACTATGCTGGTCTTACTCCTGACATTTATCTGAGTCCTTATCTGCTTGGCACTTGGGTCAGGTACCTGCTAAGAGGGTGAGACCATGTACACCAGGATGATATGTCCAGCTAACAGCTTGGATGGCATTTCTGCCTCTAGTTGCTGGCCATGGCTTTGCCACCATCCTGGGCAAAACTGGTATTCCCATCTGTAAGTTTTGCATCAGATCATGGTCTGGGCCAATCTGTTCTTAGCATTTGAGTGAGACAGGAGAGATGCTGCTTTGGGGAAGTGCTCATTGTCCTGCAGGTCACAACACCAAGCAACACGGGGTCAGGACCCTGTGAATGCTTAAAGAGCCAGCACAACCCCAGTCCCAGCACCAGGCTGGTGTCACTTTGCCAGCACCACCTCCTGAGCTTGCACCTTTGCTGCTTCACCTCAGAAACCAGTTCTAGCTGCTCTTGAGTCTGTGTGTCATGATGTGAATTTACACTGGGAGCTGGGGAGGATAAAGTGTGCCTACCCAAATCTGAGCTGGGTTCGTCAGGGATTGGGACTTCCAGGTCTCCTCTAACACTGCTGCCTGATGGGGCTTACTTGGGGCTTCCTCCCAGCTTTGAACCTGGGCAGCATATCCCTGCTCTCTGGCTTAAAACAGGCCAGGCATAGATTTCCCAACCCAGCCATACAGCTGGAGCAAAGGGTCTTCCTTGTGTGCGTATCCCTGTTCACTTGTCGAGGACAGGAAGCCAGGGAGACAGATGAATCTGTATTTAAAGCCCATGACATATGAGGTTTTTGCTTGTTGCTGCCCCAGGGCTGTTGAGCTGCACATGGGCAGATTCCTCCTTCCTGCATTCAGCTGCTGGCAAGGAGGTCTGCTTCCTCTGGTTCCCTTTATCCATAGGTAGAGGAATAAGCCTATTTTTAGGACAAGATGAAGTTTCCCATCACTGCTGATACAAAGAGCCTGAGGTCACTTATTCAGACGGGGATGAAAAACTTTGGGATGCTTAAATTGGAGAAGATAAGCCCAGTCCTTTCTTTCCCAGTGCCTGCATCCCCACATATAACAGGAAGCTATTGTAGCCTTGTCTCCTCAGTGAGAGAAATCCGTGAATGATTCCCATGCAGTGGGGAAAGGCATTAGGCAGTGGCCGATGAGCAACAAGTGAAACTTTGCGGTGATCTGGAAGAAGGGAGTGCTTTGTCCCTTGCTCTGATCTAAGATCTTATGGGTGAAGATCTGCTCAGGACCCTTACAGGGGCATCTTTTCATTGTCCTTCACTGGGGCTGAGATAGTAGCTCCTGGTGGATAGCAGATCCATTCTTTCCCCCTTTTCTCCCTTTGCAGGATATCCATCAGCGCTGTCATGTGCTCACTTTTAGTATGAAAAGTAATGTTCAGCCCTGGGGTGATTGATGGGCTCTCCTGCCTTCTGCTGTGGGTGAAATTCTGTAGAAGAGCTAGTGCAATACCTATATAATTTCTCATGTAGACTCTCATGTTTATATTTTAGGTTGTTTATGGATATTGGATGCATAAAGCGCCTTCCAAGTGTGGCCTTTGGGGCTTTCATGGCACCTGTGCATGTTGTGATGCTGGCTTTCTATGCAGTAGTAAGAGTTTCTTACAAGAGGTCCAACAGACCATGCTACTGTTTCCTAACCCTGATGGGGGTGCAGATGGTCATTGCTGCTCTGTCTATCCGTGCAGGAGAATTCAATGCTTAGTTTTCTTACAGATATGTCTGTATGCAAGTAGAGGATGCTTTGCTGGGCAGCACAGATATGCATTTCAACCTCCCTCAAAAAACCTGAAAGGCTTTAGAAATAAAACCAGGTCAGCTAATGTAAGCCTGAAAAGATGGTTGAAGCAAAAACCTTTCAAAAGAAGAAAATTAAGATGAAAATAAGACAAAAAGAAAAAAAATAAGACAAAAAAGATAAAAAAATATATATAGAAACACTTTACAACTCTTTTGTGTTTGCCCAGCTCTTTAATGCCACTGTGAAAGTCTGAGATCCCTCATAGCACTGAAATCCCAGCAGCTATTGCCACTAATGGTTTTAGATCAGTCAGGAAGCCTCAGGGTAAGATGGTGTCTGCAGGGGATATTTCAAGGTGATAATGACTGGTTTCATTCCTAAACAGGGTGCACTTACCTAATATGCAGATAGTTAATTTTTTTCCAGTATGTTTTGCTCTAGTGAGTCTCTGCCAGCAATTTTCTGTCATCTTGTCTCCAAAAATGTCAACCAAACTTGGGATTTCCTGGTGGGATCTGAACTTTGGGTTGGGGAGGAGAAGTAGTGTAGCCATGGTGTGTGAGGTTTACAAAGGAAAGAGAGGGGCTGCTGGCTGTTCAGGTGGTGCTGGGCACACGAATCCCATGGTGATGCAGGGAAAAGGGATGGAAGCACAAAAAAAAAAAATAACTGGTTTTTGTTTAGATTAACAGACCCCTGACTATGAAGAAAGAAGGAATTCAGACCAGAAACCGGAAAATGTCTAGCAAATCCAAAAAGTGCAAAAAGGTCCATGACAACCTTGAAGACTTTCCCAAGAGCAGCTCCTTTAACCCTGCCGCCCTCTCCAGACACATGTCCTCCATCAGCCACATTTCACCTTTCAGTCACTCCAGCCACATGCTGACTACACCGACACCGATGCATCCTCCATCCAGCCTCTCCTTCGGACCTCACCATCCTTCCAGTATGGTCACTGCCATGGGTTAGCAAGAGACTCCCCTGCTGAATGCTTACGGTCTCAAAGTGAGATTTACTTTATATACTTGCATTTTTGCAGGCGTGTGGTTATGGGTCTGACGTCCCGAATCAAATGGGAGGGGGAAAAAAAAGAATATTAAAAAAAAAAAAAAGATTATTTGAAGGCATAAGAGAGAAAAAAAATTAAAAAACACAGGAAAAAACTACAAAAAAACACAAAAAGGAAAAAAAAAAGAAAAAAAGAGAGAAAATAATAAAAAAAAGTTTTAGAAAAGTGATGTTTGCCACTTTTTAAAGGAACTCACTATGGCTTCTATGTATTCTTACCCACTGAATCTGGATCCCATTTGTGAATAAGCCATTCAGAACTTGCATTCCCTATTGGACAGGATCTCTAGTGCTGTGAAAAAAAAAAGAATAATATGAAATAAAATAAAGTAAAAAGCGCTGAACATTGCATATAACTTATATTGTAAGAAATACTGTACATTGAGGAAGACTTTATTGCATCTGGAGAGCTGTAAAGACAAAGAAAAAGGCATGAAGGACTCCGAGAGATTTTTCTTTTTTCTTTTTTTTTTTTTTTAAAAAGGAAAACAGACAAAAAAGTAAAGAGCAATGGAGGACAATTGAGAAACCAGACAAACAAACAATGCTGACCAAGAGGAAACGCGGTCTTATGAACAAATGGACCAACTGCCAGTCATGTCTTCTCCTTTGATTTGATTTTATTTGTTGGTTTTGGTTTGGTTTCTTTTCATTTGGTTGCTGGGGAAGGGGGAGGGGGCTGGCTAGAACGGTTGTTGGATGATGCATTAACTAACTAATGAAATAAATAATTAAATCAATAAAAACCTATAGGGAGATCATTCATTTTGGGCCATGGGCCCTTTTACATAGGAAGTACCAATGGTGTCAGGCAATCAGTGTTACCATGCGGACATTGCCAACAAGGGGTTTTCAGATAGCCATTCTCCAGGTCTATATGCATTGTGAACAAGTTCCTGTAATTGTTGTTTGTATGTATAATTCAACGCACCAAAATAAGGAAGATGTAGATTTATTTCATCCTATTATACAGACTGAATGGTTGTACAAATTTATTTACTGCTAGTGATAAGACCTGCTTTTTTTTTTTCATATTTTTCTTCCTTTTTTTTTTTTTTGAGAATAAACTAGATTAAATTCTGTTGACTTAAAAGTGTTTTGTGCTTGGGGAAAGGGAATATGTTTCTTTATTATTATTCTTCTTTTTGTTTTAAAGTTGGTATTTATTCCATAGCTATCATGGATATCATGGATACAGGAATGTGCATCTCTGTGCTCATGCTGACAGACAAAGCAGTGTTTGTAGTGGCTTGAGAATAAGAAAAAACACAGAACGAAGGAAGGAAAAACACCCTCACAAATAAATAGATTGCATGTTAGTGGAACCCCACTGTCCAGTGTGTGCTCCCTGTCCCTTGAACCTCAGCCCAGCTGCTGCCGCCGTCTAATGTGAGGCTCCCACATGGAATGGGTCCCTTTTGGTTTCAGTGAACCGTGGCTACCAAGGTGGCAAGCCTGTGTTGAAGACAATTTGGGATTGGGATAAGTGCAAAGATATGGCAGAGTCCTTATGATCCTGGATATGTTTTGGGCAGTACTAGGAAAGACTAGATCTTGATGTGAAACCAAGATGGATGGTCCAGACCCTGCCCCTGTGCTTGGAGGAATGGGCAGAACCTGACACAAAAGGCTGGATTTGATGGTAGACAGAGGTCAAGTCTCCAAATATCAAAGGCCCTCAGGCAGCCCCTTCTTGCAAGAATCTTATTTGAAATAATGCAGTTTATGTTATTATTGTGGATAGCAAAGTTTAGCTCTTTTAATCTGATTTCTGATGGTTTAATCCTTAGATATTGGTCTTCCTCTTCAGCATTTACTGTTCCAGCTTCTTTATGCTATCATTAGGGTTGGGCATTTACTTTCCAAATGAAAGGTTAAACTTCTTATCACCCCGCTCCATTTGGAGATTTAAGCATGGTGTGATAAGACAGAGGTTGCCACAGCTGTGAGAAAATGCTTAACTCCCCCCCCCCTCCCCAGAAGCATAAAAGCCTCAATGGACATGACCTGCAAATGACTTATTTATTTTTGTTTATTTAGCTATGGAATGAAATAACTGAGTTCTTTCACCCAGAAATACATGTACTCCTGTGTTTCTGTGCCAGGTGGATAGAAAAAATATCACCGCATGTGTCAGATGCTATTTTGAGCCCACTTTCCCTGAGGTGATAACTGGAGAGGGTTAACAATGGCCTGGTCTAATCTTCTTCTGCAGGATGGCTCACGAGTAAGGATGTTTCACATAAGAGAGACCATGTCAAAACTTTCAGGATGATTATACAAAGGCCAAATAGTCATTTGATTTTGAAATGGAGGAGAAGGGGAAGAGTACTGACCTTTATTTGTGCTTTTCTTCCCCTGTTTCAAAATGAACCCAGTTCATTAACTATGAACTGTTAAACTATGTCTGCCATAAAGGAGGATTTAGCAGCTGTAAGCGGAACAGACAGTAATCGTTTTGTAATGTTGTATATTCTTTCCTTTCTTCTCTGTTGATAAAAACATGTAAAAAAAAGAACACATAGCACACATTTAAAATATTATGTTAATCACCTTTCTGCTTACTCAATGAGTATTTTAAGCATAAAGACCAAATGTCAAAATAAAACAGAGCAAAGAATTACTGAGATGCAAATGGAGATCTTTTTGGCTCCTAATTAATCATCTGCAAACTGCAAAGCTATTTCCACTTAGTCTGACAAATCAAAGGAAATAATCATCTTCGCTGATATTAAGCTTGAGAGATTATTATTTTTTAATTCGTGATGCTACAACCTTTCCCTCCTTTTGCTCATCAACAGATTGCAGTTGGACTAAGATACTGATTCCAGTATTCGCAGTGCTGCGCTCATCTATTATTGTGTTTTTATCTTTCAGTTTACTTTAGAGGGAACTGGCTCCTGAGTTTCTTGCTCTAACTTCTTCCTAAAACCTGAATACACCTTCTTGCAGTTTCCTTCTGATGTTGTTTCATAGGTCTTAGGGGTATTGACTGAGATGATGCAGGACTAAGGCCAGCTCAGATAATGAGCATCCTGAAAAGAACACAAACGGAGACACTCTGTCTGCATATACTCTAAGAAACACACACAGTTTGTCTAAAGAGTTCTTACATCAATTATCTTATGTTCTGATGTCAGGAGCAGGATGAATAGGAGCTCACACCAGGTACCCTTGATTACTGGCCAAGATGTGAAATTAATACGAGTCTACCAGTTTCTCAGTTATGTCTTTCGTCTCTCTGAGAGTAAATATTCCAGATTTTTAATGTGTTGAAGGGCTTTGGTTTTTGGTTGGTTTTGTTATGGTGTTTTATTATTTGCTTTGCTTTATTTACTTCCTTCCCTTGAACACCTGAGAAAAGTCTAGTTTACAGAAAAGGCAGAGAGCTGTTGCTTTTAGGCAAACATCTTGTGAATGGCTACTTCTCCTTTCTTCACTTCTGAAACTGCAGGGAAGAGCTGATGGTAGGCAGGCTGGAGCAGGAAAGCCTTCTGAGTCACAGCTCTACTTTGGTAATCTATATTGTGCAGAAAACACCATGGAAATCATTAGTGGGGTCAAATCTTGTGGACGTTTTGCAGGAAAAATGCCTTCTGGGAGTCTGAGTAATAGCTGCTGTGCTGGTGTGATGGTGGTAACTGCGTTCTACTCATGATCCAAGCCAAAGTCCACTGGCATTAGTGGAAAGACTCCCAATGGGTAATGCAGTAAGACTTGAATCAAGCCCTTCCAATTAATTTTGGTGTTATCACCTTGATTTATCTGCCTTAGTTATCTTTTCAGCTGCATTGGTCTTATGTCAGTACGCAAGACATACATGAGATACTGAAGATTACCAAGCTCAATGCTTCAAGGTGGAAGAAGTGAGAAATGTTTTTTACACAGTCTGCAAAACTCCGATTTTTCTCCTGTGTATTTGACTTGTGAGTTGTTTTAGGAAGCATCTAAACTTGCATTTAGGTTCAGTTTAGCAGTGTGTTTTTGAAGTGATTTCCCAGTAGTTCCACCTTAGGGTGATGAAATTTTACCTTGGCTCATGCAGCATGGTTTCCTTGGAACCCCACCTAATGTGCTACCATGCTAATGGGAGCTCAGGCCAAAGGGCCAGGCTAAAATTACCCTGAAGCAACCCCTCAAAATATGTCCTTTGGGTGCTCAGCATGGATTGTTTGTTCCCCCCAGCATCACTCCTATTGTTACTGCACACATCACCATAAAACACATGTTTTCCTACTCCATTTTGGTCACTGAGACTTCTGATCCACTCAGGACGGGTTGTAGTTTGGGGAAGAACCTGGGTGGGTGACGATGGGACTAGAGGGAATGAACCTGTCTTGTTTTTTGCAGAGTTTGGGAGGTGTTTGGGACAACAGACCAGAAGTTCTTATGGAAAGAACCCTGTCCCTGTAAATGAAGCCATAAAATTTTGTATTTGTCCTTTCCTCTTTCATAGATCTTCTATATGGCATTGGGAAACTCACATGAGGACAGCCACTAATAATGTAATCATCCCTTTTGGTGATGCCTAATTGCACACCCTAAAGTTTGTTTTGCAGAAATGTTTAGTGGTATCTTCAGCCAAAGGATCTCATAGAATCATAGAATAGTTAGGGTTGGAAAGGACCTTAAAATCATCAAGTTCCACCCCCCCTGCCATGGGCAGGGACACCTCACTCTAAACCATATTACCCAAGGCCTCGTCCAACCTGGCCTTGAACACTGCCAGGGATGAATCATTCACGACCTCCCTGGACAGTGTATTAATCCTGCAGAATACAGTAAATATTAAGAAAACTGCAAATCCAGTGCTTCATTTCTTCCACCTCCTCCCATCCCCAAATCTGGAGAACAGACAGTAACTCATCATAGATGTGTTGTGCAGATAAATCCGTCACTTGTGAAGTGCTTGGTTGAGCACCATGGAAAACCCACCATCTTCAGCAGGTCTACAGGAAGGAAGGCTTGAGGAGTGAGCAGAATACAGCTCCACTGCTCATGAAGGTCAACATCCTCCCTGTGTCCTCAGTGATGCAAAGGAAAAATACTTGGTGTGATCATCCTGTGCAGAAGGAGCAATGGAGGTGGAGGAAGGGTGAATAATTCAATCTGGTGTTTCCTAACATTTCAGTGGTTGAATTTTTAATCTTCATGGTATTTTCTTAATGCATTCTTTTGGTTTCATTCCTCCATAAAGACATACATGTGCAGGTACAGACAGGTGCTCATTGGTGTCACGGACTCTGTACCTTGTCAGCAAGGGAAACATGACGTGTGTCAAACCTATGTGTAAGTATGTCTACACCCAGAGAACTGGAGGGCGCCTGTTGTCACCCATCTGTCTTTGCTGGTTGTATGATGTTCTATGTGCGCCTGTGTGGATATATCTAAACTGCAGCTCTACAGAAAGCAACGCACAACACAAATGTATAGCAAATTTATACCTGTTTCACACAGTTCCTTGAGGCTATGCAGACTCCGGGGTGGATGTTGGAACACTCTATCTTAGAAGTGTATTTCCCTTGTTATAAGTTTAAATTAAGGCTTTGACCTGAAGCTAAACTCATTTTTTTCTCTCCAGGTACAAAACACCTGGTTATTTAACCCGTCCTTTTACATTTCCACTCTGGGTTACTGTCAACTCCAGAGGCACTGAAATAATTCATGCAAACTTGTCCTTTGGGAAGACAGAAGTGACTGAAATGCTCAGGGGAAGCTTGCTCGTGAGCCTCACAGGCTGGTGTTCATGTTAATATGGAAAATTAAACCTCTGCATGAGTATTTAGGCTTAGTTCATGAACTGTTTTAGTTCCCAATTAATACTCTATTGCAATATTATAGTGCAATCATTCACATAACTATTTCTATGTTAGAACCACAGTAATCTTACACTACTTGACTGGATAACTCTTTTCTTGCTAAGACACAAATCAACCAGTGTGTAGATTAGGGTGGTCCCAGTGGCTGCAGGGAGCACTGCTGTCCACAGGTTCAGGTCAGGACACAATCCTTCAGCTCCAATTCTGCTCTTAATTACAGTCTCCCCTCATATTCACCAGCCACAGAAGAGATTCCTTTCTCAGCTG